ATATATAATACAATTATTAAAAAAAAAAAAAATATATATATATATATAATAAAAAATAAAAATGTATATTTTATTACAATATATTTATAAAAATAATTTAGTCTCTCAGTTATTTAGTGACACTTTTACTCATTTTAAATAGTCCTGCGATACCAAACACATTTTAAAAAGTATAAAAATATATTTTAAAGCATGTATATTTTTACACGTGCTTTACTCCGTAGCCTTCTGGTGTTTTCAGAGTTTACTCTCACCTTACACACACGTGCCACCCGCGCCACAGTCAGATCGCTGTCACAGTCCAGCTCCACTGCTCTCTCGCTAAAGAAGAAGTAGATCTTATCGTCGTCTCCATCTTTACTGCTGCGGCTCTCTCGGACCAGCGCCGAACCCACAAAGTTTGGCTCTGCAGCAGACAGCAGGGAAAGATAGGGAAGGACGTGTTAGAACTAGGGACACGGCGCTTCACAGAGAAGGGCTGGTAGTTACTCGATGAACAGATAAAAGATCTTAAGTTTCCACCTCGGGATTAACCCTGCTAGAAAGATCAGGACCATGCTCCCCGTACATCGCTTAATACCGTACTTCTGATGCAAAGCTCAATCTTCATCAGCATCATTCCTCCAGTCTTCAGTGTCACATGATCTTCAGAAATCAGTATAATATGCTGATTTAATGCTTTAAAAACATGTATTATGTTGAAAACAGTGATGCCGTTTAATATTTTTGTGTGAAACATGATATTGTTTTGTTTTCAGGATTCTTTACATTTAAAAATAAACCTTTTGTAACCATGTAAAAGTCTTTACTGTCACTTTTGATCAATTTTAATGTGCTCTTCCTGAATAAAAGTAGTCAATTATTTAAAAAAAAAGCTTACTGAACCCAAACTTTTGACTGTTTATTATATTAATCATATCATATCATATCATGTTATATTTAGTACCGTCAAACGATTAATCGCGATTAATCGCATACAAAATAAAAGTTTTTGTTTGCATAATATATGTATGTGTTCTATGCATATTTATTATGTATATATAAATACACAAACATACATGTATATATTTGGAAAATATTTACATGTTTATGTTTATATTCATAATATTTATATTATAAATAAATATATTTAATATATAAACATAACATATTTTTCTGAAATATATACATGCATGTGTGTGTATTCATATGTACATAATAAATATAAACAGTACACACACATATATTATGTAAACAAAAATGTTTATTTTGGATGCGATTAATCGCGATTAATCGTTTGACAGCACTAATATATTATACAATTATATTATATTATTATATAGTATTATATTATATTGGTCACACTTTAGTTTAGGGACCAATTCTCACTATTTACTACAACCTTTGCCTCAATAAACTCCCAATGTTCTCCTTATTAGTAGTTAGTAAGGTAGTTGTTTAGGTATGGGGTTCAATAATTAAGGGATCTGACATATGGTCATGCAGAATAAGGCATTAATACGTGGTTTATAAGTACTAATATACAACCAATATGCTAGTAATATACATTATAATAAGCTACTACTTAATAGTGAGAATTTGTCCCTAAACTTAAGTGTTACCATTATATTATATTACATTAAATTATATTATATTATATATATTATATAGACAGAAATGACTCCCTCACAACTGAAGAAGTACTTCACACTAAGAAAAACAGCTGTGCCTATTATTGTCAACAATATGATTATTTTATTTTAAATGAGGCTATTATTAAAATAATTATAATAATAGTGCATTATTGCATCCTCTGGTTCAACAGGGTGCGCTCACAGGAATGATGCAGAGACTGGGACAGACTTAAACAGACAAAATATAATCCTGTTTCTATTAAAAAAACAGGTCTGAGCTTATGGACCTGTTGCTATGACAACGACTCAGAGATGAGTTTTGGAGAATGAAACAATACAGGATTGTGTCAAGTCGCCAACAACTGAATCCAGACAACTCCATATCCAAGTCGATTCTCAGTTAATAAATGCTGTTCATTTTTTTATATTATTATTATTCTATTTTTCATATTATATATTTTTGGAAATTGTTAAATAACAACACACACACACACACACACACACACACACACACACACACACAAAACAGTTGAATCCAAACAATTTAGTAATCCATGTTCAGAGAAGCAACATCATTTATTTAATAAAAGTGTAGCAATTGTTAAATTATACATATTTTATTATTTTTTAAAACACTGTAAAAATGATCATAATTAATTGCTAAAACCAGTCATTTACCTGCTAATAAAATCCAAGAAATATTACATTATGTATAATATCTATATGTATAATATGAGGATTACGAGAGCAACGTAGGATCATATTCCAAAAAACTCCATGTCCAGAGAAGCAACATGGTTTATTGACTGTTCTGGTGATAATCAAACGAATTCAGCAGAGGCATGATATATGTGACACTGGACAACAAAACCAGTCATAAGGCTCGATTTTTAAAAATCTGAAATCTGAATAAATAATCTTTCCATTGATGTATGGTTTGTTAGGATCGGACAATATTAGAAAATCTGGAATCTGAGGGTGCAAAAAAATCTAAATATTGAGAAAATCATCTTTAAAGTTGTTCAAATGAAGTTCTTAGCAATGCATATTACTAATCAAACATTAAGTTTTGATACATTGACGGTAGGAAATGTACAAAATATCTTCATGGAACATGATCTTTACTTAATATCCTAATGATTTTTTGGCATAAAAGAGAAATGTATAATTTTGACCCATACAATGTATTGTTGGCTATTGCTACAAATATCCCCCAGCGACTTAATACTGCTTTTGTGCTGCAGGCTCACATATATATTTTGTGTGTGTGTGTGTGTGTTATCAGACTTACCGTTGAGCCACGCCGGCAGGTATTCACTCTTCATGCTGTAATGCTGCTGTCCCAGGTTCCTCAGGATTACAGGCTCTGTGCCCAGAAAGTTATTGAGGGTGGCGGAGTACAACTCTTTGTCTAGGAAAGGAGAAGAACGCTTAGAGCGGGAACAGGTACACACGCACGCACTCCTGTCTACAGCCCTGCAATTATGAGATATTAAAGAGGGACTCCATTCTCTCCCGAGTGTGGGAAGAGAGGAGGCATAAACGCATCCACGGGCTGCACCGAACACAAAAGGACGCCCACGCACAAGACACAAGAATAATAATGCAGGTTTTTGCATGTGTGACTCACCCACAATGAGGCCAGTGTGACCCTTGGCGGGGTCATAGGGGCACTTTCCCTTGCCGTCCTCCAGGGCGGCGCTATCCAGAGTGAAATGATCTGCATTCTATCAAAGACAGAAATGGTCACATATGGATAGAACACACACACACGCACAGTCACGCACGCACGCACGCACGCACGCACGCACACACACACACTCTCACACTCTCTCACA